CTGCTACCTATTCGAATTGCAGGAACTTTTGAGTGAATTTGATATTTCTAATTTGGAATTAACACCAAAAGTGCGTTCCTGAGAATGTTCCCTATATTTAATAGATACTATATATTTCATCATTTTCGGAAACATATTCGCATAGAATTCAGTTGATTTTTTTTGGGAAGAAGAGTGTCGACTCGAGAGAGAAGATTGTAATGAGAATAGCGCTGAAAAAAAGGGAAAAGTTTACAGACATTTCTATTGTATTTATCGTTTTGGTAAATAAGATTGAAATTGTGACACCACCGAATAAAATTATGAGCCTCATGTAGCTTTGATTTCCGAAAGTTCGTCGATTTGAACTTTGCGACACTCTTTTTCGCAAAACGCGATATGTATTTTACGGGCAACGGCAGATAATTGCTTTTACAGTTCGCATAGAAGTCAGTCGTCATTCATCGGTTGCGAATAAATAAGAACATGGCTAAAAATTGTACAGTGATTCACAGAAAAAATAATACTGAGCACATTTGTTGCGCACTGAGAAAACGGCCGAATTAATCGAATATATAAAATTAATGTATTGTATAAAAAAAAATTTACATTTGCACAATTCAGCGTCGCGTCAATCTTTGTTCGATTAATTATTTGAGTTGTTAGTGTCTTTTTCTAATTGCACTTCTTGTTCGATTCAGCTTTTAATTCATCCAAGCGGTTCTTTTTTCTCAGTGCGCGTCCAAGAAAAATCACAAGTCGATCGTAGACTTAAACCGAATAAATAATGCGACACAGATTGCTCGAGAGACTTTGGCATTGTAACATCACACAAGCGAACATCGTGCACAAGCGAGCGAGCGAGCGTTTACATTCGCGACCGCTTACGGGCGGGCCTGCTGCCAGAATCATTTACGAGAATGAGACAAAGGGCCAACGAACGAGACTGACAAGATTTTTACATCAAGCACGCTAAACGCTAAACGATTCTACTAAAGCTAAAGCTCATATCGGAGAGAAATAGAATCTCCGCGTGTCGTCCTAAGTCTTACGAATAAATACGAAAGTAAAATCAAAAGTAAAATCTATCGACTATCGAGAGTGCGACGATGCTTTACATTTGCGTATCGGCGCGGGCAGTCACGATACATTTTTGAATTTTTTTTCACGATTATTGCCTTCTTCGTAACGATGCGGGATGTACAGTGGCTGGCCGAAAATTTACATCATCAGTCTTAAATGTCAAAATTCGCCAATGTTCGGAAACAAGTGAGATTTTCCGTTTATCAAGACTTTCAGTTTAAACGAATAATTGATTTCATTGATTTATTACTGCTCGATCGAGAGAGAGAGAGAGAGAGAGAGATCGATGCTACACTGTTATTTCGGCCTTCTTCACTTTACTTTGTATATTCAGTTAGATGTGTATTGCATTTAGTTTTCAGAAATTGTAGTTTAATAACAAATAAATTATCCTCTCAAAAATCAATACTCTTAATTTTTCTAAAACTTGGAAATTTCACTATTAAAACATTAACGTCTAAAATATCACGCGATATAATGTAAATAGATAATCTATTCTTTTATACTCAAACAAAAGCATGCAACGATTTTTTTAAGACTGACGATCTTTTCGTAGCGAATCTCGTTACTTGCTTATCATTGATAGTTCGTGTAGATTGTCTCACTATATTATAATAAGTCTATACTATCAATAAATACTGCACCACTGTACACGCACAGATCGAAACTAATAGTATCCACAGGTTTATTGCAATATGCCGATTTTTACTGCATCGCGACGAACGATACATCGGCCATGCCTGTAGAAGAATAATCTCTGTGTATAAAGAAGTGTCGGTTAATTGCTCTTAATTAATCAGGTAGATACACAGGTAAATTGTAACTCGATATACACAGAGGGAAAGAAAAACATAGAATCGCCTAAAATTAAATTCGGCGCCCAAGTGTTTCTCGGTCGATTAATCTCTCATATGTTTAGGCCCGGTTGCACCAATGTCGCGATTAACGTTGATCCCGGCTGATTTCTCAAGTGTAATGTAGGAAAAGGACAACGAATCGTGGATCCTGGATACTCCAGGAAATGACTCTTGATGCAACGTAGCCTAAATGTTCCTCTACATAATTCTACAAATTAGTACATACATGTACATACATATACATATAGATATATGTATGTATGTATGTATGTATGTATATAGCATTACAATAGATAATATCTACACGAACATTGGCTCTGAAAAAATGATACAACATTCTTCCTCGAGAGAGAAGTCAAAATATTAATCGAGAACTCGTGATTACGATTCTGTATAAAGTGCGCTTTTTTGTGACTTTGGACGTTTATCAACGTTATTATATTTCGAGTTTTTCTCTTCGCTAAAATGTGTGAACGGAAAACGCACGCTCGAATTACAATAACAAGGGAGCGCTTTTGCGCGCTTTTCGTCGAATAATTTTCCGCAAAAATTCGCTAATAAGAGTGAACGAGGACTGAAGTGTCCCGCAAAAGCGCAATACAATACATTGCTTGTAGTCGATTTTATACTCTCGACACTCTCCGCACGCACACACATCCCCACGCACATAATTTGTCATAAATCACGTCGATTTTCATATTATAATTTACATGCCCGCATGTAACAGTAGAACAATCGCGACGAAGATCAAACGGGGACTCTCGATTAAATCACGTGTATATGCATCGGAATTGCACGCACGCATAAAATATCTAAAGTCGTTTTAGATCGAGATCACTATCAGCTGAGAGACATCACAGTTTCATGAAGAATTCCTTCTCGTGAAATTTCGCGAGAGTAGAATATACAGAATGAACCACGTATGTTTTTCTTTTAATAACTCAAATTAATAACTTTTAATAACTCAAATTGCATTCAAAATGAATTCGCTTTGTAGAACTTTTTTAATAACCGACACTCTGATTTTACATGATTCTCCATTTATATTGTGAAATTTATTTTACATATTTATAAAATGTGCACGAGCGCACGCTAAATCTGTTTGAATATAGTCTGTGACATGATTATTTACTACGAAATTTCATTTGTTACATGAAATTTATTATATATTTTTATAAGATATATAAGTATATATAATAAATTTCATACAACAAACGGAGTTCCGCGTAAAAGAAGCATAGCACGGACCATGTTAAAACAGATATTTAAAAAAATGTGTCTGCAAATTAATCGATTATATATTAAATTATATCCTTTGCTATAAATATACATTAATTATAAATAGATTGTAAATAATACTACAAATTGTGAATACTATCGCAATCATTCTGCGTTTTGCATTAAATACTCTGCCAAAAAAATTTGTAAGCCACAAAAATTTTGCCATTTGACGACAAAAAAACATTTCGTAATCTTCCTATTGTTAGTGCAAAAAAGAATCTAATGATGAATCATCTAAAAAAATCATCTAAAACCTTGCTATCTAAATATCTTACGGATACTCGAAGCTGTTATATTTGAATACTTACCACTTTTTCTAAAATCTATATTCTATGATGTAAATACAATGCGCTGATAAAATTGACATTTGACAAACTGTGAGAAGTTTTTCCATTTTTTTTTAGATGATTCACTGGCTAGATATCAGTTATTTTTCTCTTTTTTGCGTCTATTGAATATTGCAGCGTAGCTGCTCGAATAAGTAACTCAATCTAGTAAAGCAAAATTAGAATTGAAACATTTAAAACAGTTTTATATATTTTTTTTAATATTCACCATGTAACCTGAATCTTTTCCTTTAATCTATTTTGCCTCACTGACTGTCTCACGCGCCTGAACCACTGTTTAGGCTTAGATTGGCTTTATATATACTTTGTACTGAAATATACATTATTCAAGTGATGAAGTTTTACGCGGCTCACTCTCTATATTCCTAATTCTCGCTCAAAATAAATTTTACGATTGATCTTCGAGTTAATAAAAAGATTCGCCTCAACAGCATATATTTTTCAGTTCGAATTTGTTCTAATTTCGCCGTACAACGATTGCAACGATAATCGCTGTTGCGAAGCTACTAAAGTTTTTTGAGTATTCCCATTTTTCTCTCTTTCTTTCGACACATTCTCTCCTACACACAATATTTCTCTTTTTTTCATTTTATCGTTAATTACGACACAAGAAACGCAATATTATTACATCTACACACACATTTTTTTATGCGTTACTATCGGCAACGTTGAACACGTTTTACATACTTTTCTTTTCATTTCTCTTTGACGTTTATCATGTCGCGTGTGCTATTCAAAAGTAAAATTTTTACACACGCCTGCCATTTTACACACATAGGCCATTTCGAAAATGCGAAAGAACAAGAAGAGACAGAGGAGGATTACAGAGAGCAGATATTAGCTGCGAAGAAAACGGCGGAGTAAAGTGAAGAAACAATATACATGAAAAGCGATCGAACCAAATGAGAGGAATATTTTTCTGCAAATTAGATATCTCTCATCAAATTTTACGCATGTGTGCAAATTGGCTCAAATTATTCTTTTAAGCGTTATTATTTAGAAGTGCTGTGAACAAAGCTTGGAGTTTTTTTCCCCCTATTACGCATTGTATTGTATTATTACGAGATCGAAATGTCACACGTGCGCAAATGTGAAAAAAAAAAGATGATACACAATTGGATCAAATCACAATTTCTTACATTTCGAACAGAATTACGTGAACCACGAATAAAATCAATTGCCACATATACTACATATATTATATAAATTAGTAATATTATTGTGTATATATAAATTATTATTATTATGTGTATATCAATATAATTATAAATATATAAATTAATAAGAAAATACATTCTCTGATAAAATTAACTAATTAAACTAATAAAAAAATATTTGAATTTTCTTGCACAATGTATGTAAAATCTAGAAAAAACAACGCAATAAAAATTAGAAAAATAAAATTTTGAAACAATGAAAAACAATATAAAAACATAAAATTTAGGTAGGATGGTTCACATGTACTATTAAAAAAAAGTATCACAAAATATTTTCCAAAAAGTATCAAAAAAATATTTAAAAAATTTGTCCGCGCATCAACCATTCTACATTTGGTTTTCCAATTAGCTTTATATTAAAAATTTCAAAGAAAAACCATCGAAACGCAATGCACAATGTACAAGCGTCAGCAGATGGATGTTTGTGACAACGTAAGATAAAAAAATCACGAAATCGTTCTCGCATATTTTCATTGCCGATCGCACACAATGTCGATTTTTAACATGCTACTCTGTATTAAGGATATCTCTACGCTTTTTCAATAAACACTCAGAAGCTCGAGATGAAAGAAAATTTCTTCTCGCGTCAACAGGAGCACGACGGACCTAGTGTCCGCGTGCCGCAAGGCGGATTTTCCACCGCTCTTCCTTCGTTTATTATCATTCGACAAATTATCGAAGAATATTTATTAGAAACAGCACACACGAGTGATCGATGATAGAGAGTCGATCCGAAATCACCTCGAAAATAAATAGATATTATACAAATGTGCACAAATGATATATACAGCTTAATAAGCAATCAGGATTACTGCGTCAATGACGAGTATAATTCAGTGAAACAAGAGAACAGCAGACTATCGATCGATCAAAAGCGTAATCTCAGTGGCAGTAAGATGTATTTGTGTGTGTATGTGTGTGTGTGTATGTGTGTATGATAAAGCTGGATGAATTCGACGAAGACACTTTGTACTACAACGAAGAAATATGATCCACCGCATAACCGGACAATGATCGTGAGGGCCAGCCGGGAGATCGGCTGCCTGCGAATGAACACCTGACGGCCGATCGTTCGTCGATATCGTTAAATTGCACCGTATGATTGAATCACCGACAGTGGGCAGCGATAGATAGATAACACGCATTTGTCGTCTCGCTGTTTGCACCGCGCGAATATAATTCGAACTTATTACTTTCTACAATCCTAAGGCAGTTGAATTGAAATTGCTACGCGGGAGTTGCCAAATCGGATGCCAAATCGCCAAATGAAGCGTTCTTGTTTCGAGAGCTTCGTCGTTAGTTCCAAACCCCATTAGAGCCAACGACGAAATATCTAATAATATTCTAACGTCAGAACTAATAAGACAGGACACATCTCCTTTATTCCGTAATAATAAGTTTGTCAAATCGAGATAATCGGGGGGAGAAGACGGCTCTCGTAGGGCGTCTATTAACATTATATTGTTTGAGAATTTCTTGACTTTTCCGAACATCTTTTTCGTTCAAAGCAAAATTATTCAGAGAATGCAAATTTAAAACCGTGAATTTATTGTATACGAATGTGTGAATCTTACTCATTCGTCACCTCAAGTATGTCATCAAAATTGGAAAAGAGCAATGTTCCTTAAAATTAGAATATTAAATTTGAACAAGTTCCAGAAATAATCGCCAAATTCGGACAGATCTTAAAACAATCTTTTAAAGTATGACTACAAATTATTCGATAATTAATTCAAATTGTTAATTAGATGCCACGTAGTAGACACTCTGTCTTAAAAAGAGCCAAAAAGAATACGATCAGCTTTAGAATTTACAACCAATTGGAATTATATATATATGCAATATGAGGTATCGAGCAATGACAGAATTATCGGAAACGAAGAAGTGAAGGAGAAATAGAAACAGAAAATACGGAGAAAGGGGTGGCCGCCGTCTACGTAACAAAACGCACGTCGATCGCGCCGCTAAACGCGGGGGTGGCATTTCATCGTCGCGCGCACAGTCACAGTTTTAAACTCTGTACTCTGACGATTCCCCTAGTATTCAGGTAAACACGAACGCTAATCTACCCCCGCTACTTGCATTAGGAGTATATAAAGGGCGAGACTGGCCCTAGGCACGTCCACGCAGCAATCCTCTACTCATCTACGCTTTTTCCTCTTGGATCGGTTGTTCGCTTTCCTCGCAGCGGCCTCCTCCAGCGTCTTCTTCGACTGTGACTCGTTCGGCGCCTCGTTCCGTCGGCCGCCGGTGGTCTCGACGAGTTCGGATCCCGGGTTCTCCTTCTTCGCGATCGACGAATCGTGCCGCTCGGACTCCGCGAGGCCGCCGCTGCCGCCGCCGTCGCCGCTCTCCACCTGCCGCTGCGGCTGGAGCTGCAAAGAAGATTCCCTTTGCGATTCTCTCCTCACGGCTGCCACGTTACCTCGACGTGTCTCGTCGACGACGACGGATCGTACTTCCGTGGTGACGAGAGAACTCTTTTCCATCGTCACGTTATCCTCCTCGCTCTGGCGGATCTTCCTGGCGCGTGCCGTTACGCTCACGACAGCCGCGATATCTTCGTCCACGCGAGGTTCTTCGTCTACTATCGGTGTGGGAAGGTCTATGAGAAAACTGTCCTCCATCGCCGCCACCGTCGTCGTTGTCGTCGTCGTCGTCGTCGTCGTCGTCATCGTCGTCGTCGTCATCGTCGTCGTCGTCGTCGTTGTTGTCTCGTCGACATTATCCTTCTCGCTCGAGAGTCGCTCCTCCTCTTCTTTAGCTTTAGAGGCCCGTCGTTGCGATCCGACGGACGAGGAATCGTCTTCGTCGCGGGATTCCGCTTCATCGAACTTCCTCGCATCGTCCTGTTTCTCCTCGACTTCTATCAACGGCTCGAGATCCATTTCCTTGCGCGCCTCCTGCGACTCCAAGGAAGAGGAGATGCTCTTCTTGACGATCGAGCTCCAGGATATCTCCGCCGAAGAGGCAACCTGCGCTTTCGACTCCTGATTGTTGGTAAAGTCCACGAGCGGCTCCTCTTGCACAGCTTCCTGCAGCTCCGCCATTTTCACCTTGGACGAGCACAACAGAGGTAGAGGAGCCGAGGTGAATGACTCGCTCGAGCCGCTTTCCTGCGACTTCTTGCTCTTGCGGGACTTCCTGGCGCGCGTCCCGGCGGCGACGGCAGCAGGCAGAATCTTGCACTCCGGCGCCGCGTCCGCATCCGTCTCGGCCTTCTGCATCGCGTCGATGTCGATGATCTCGATCATGTCGATCATCTCGGCGGCGTCGCTGACGGTGCTTTGAGACGTCCGCTTACTGGACGACAGTGACGACGATGATGAGGACGACGAGAAACTAGTCGGTTTCGAAGAGCGGCTCTTAGGCTTCCTCGTGGGACTCAGGTACATTCCTTCAGGTCTCTCCTTCAGATGATCGCACTTGTCGATCTCTTCCGGCTTCGGCCGGATCTCCTCCAGCGGGTTGTATATCACGGTGACTTCGGCGGTAGCCTCCGCGTCGCTCTTCTCAATCACCATGATATCCTTCCGCCTCTTGCCTTCCGATTTGGACTTGGCCAACTGCTCCGTTATCATCGTCGTCAATGACGCTTCCTGCGCAAACCTCGTGGACGCGTCGAGCTCCAACTCGTGGATCTCGGAGTGCTGCACATGCTCCAGATCGTCGTCGGAGGACAATGTGTGCCTGCTGTGTCTTCTGCGAGTGCGACTGTCGCTGCTCGCTCTCCTGGCGAAGCTCGCGGAGTCTAGAGCGCCGAGCTCGGAGCTCTGTATGTACTCCAGATCGTCGTCCGAGATTGTGCTTTTGCTGCTCTTCCGCTGCGTCACGCCGCCGCCGCCGGTCGTCGCCGTCGCGTCCTCGCACCCGCCGCCCGCGTTTTCGATCCTCGAACGCATCGACTGCATCACGTCGGACGCGTGAATGTGCTCCAGATCGTCGTCGGATTGCGTGGACGCGGTGTCCTTGCCGAGGTTGCACGGCTCCTCCGCGTGATATCCGATAGAGCGGAAGTCATCCAGCGGCGGCGGATCCAACGGCGGTGGATCTAGAGGTGGCAATCCATCGTCGTCGTCGTCGTCGTCGTCGTCGTGACAGTCGGCTGGTGATCCCGCTTTTGTCGCTTTCGACGTCTCTTCCTTGTGGACGACGTCGATAGGTATCCCCCGAACGTGCGGTTTAACCAACAATTTCTCTTTCGCGTACTTCAACTCTTTCTCGTCGGACGGAGTGCGACTCTTCGATTCGCCGCCTTTGCGCGTCTTGGTCGCTTCAGATTTCTTTCCAATAATATTGTCGATAATATTAATCGTACACGCATCGTACACTTTCCTCGCGTAATCATCCTCTTTAATACGGTATTTCTCCGCGCTCGTTGCCATTCGCTGTTCAACCGGACGCTTTGGCAAATCCGACGAGGATCCTCTCGACGACGCTTTCTCGGAATCGGCGATGGATCGCTTCTTCAATTTCTTAAGTTTCTCGTCGGCGCTCGTGTGCGGCGCAGGAGTTTCGGCGGTGTCTCCATCGCTTCGCATCGTCTTGTTCTCCATCAACGTGACGCTGTCATCGTCGTAGCTGACGAAGTACTTGGCCTTGGCGAGGTGCCTCTCGTGCACCTCGCTGTGATAATCGTCGCCGCGCTTGTCAGCGCCCTTGCTCTTGCCGCACCACAGCGTCTCCTTCGCCTGCGTCATCGGACTGCTCGGGATCTCGCCCGGCTCGGCGCAGAGGCTGAGGCTCGTCGGCACGTCGCGGAACGCCTCCTCCCTCTCGTAGTCGATCGACGCGGTCGTCGTAGTCGCCATCTCCGCGCACAGAGCGCGGCGCTCCTGCAGCTCGCGTATGTTCTCGTCGGGCACGCTGTCGATCGCTGGCTCGCACGCGGTGCGCATCTCCGCGCAGATCTCGGTATGCTCGCGGCTCAGCGCGCGGCTCGCCGGCTCCACGTCCGCGAGGTCGGCCGCGCCACCGAGCGAGGCCGGACCCTCCTCCGCGCACACGCTTCTAGGTGCGTGGATCTCCTCCGCGGCGGAGTCCTGTGCGGAGTCGCCGCTAATAGTGTCCTCATCCTCGTCGGCCGACACGGTAATCACGGTGCCGGTGTGAGGGTTGACGACTTTAGTTACCGGCTGCCCCACCCTCTCAACTACCGTACGCCTCCCTAGTAACAGAAAAAGCCGTTGGCAGGTATCAATAACACGAGTGTCACTGCTCACGAGTGTGTGTCTCTTTCCCTCTCTCGCTCCCTCCCTCTTAAGTTTCTCTCTTCCTTCCTCTCTTTTTCTCTCTCTCTCTTTGTTATCTTTTCTCTTTTACAATCAGCTCGCTCGCATGCTCGCACGGGATATTGTGTCTTAAATACGTTTGCCTCATCGAACAGAAAAAAATCACAAACCCGGAATCCGTGAGGATCTCGAAGTATACACGTATGTAATGCGAGTAACTACGGGAATTGGTGCTTGAACAAAGAAAGTATAGAAAAATCTATCCCAAAGTTTAACGCGACGCAAGTACAGCGATTCTCTTCTATTGCATTCCGCACACCCCCGGCGTATGTATTGATTACGCGGGAGAGTCAAGGCAAGACAAACTTAAGAGAAGAAACGATTGCAAAATAATCGCCAAAACAGTCTCTCGCTTTCTCGCTCTAAGATATACACAAAGCTAAAAGCTCGAACAAAGTGTGGTAATTCTGGTTAGTACAAAGACAGTACACAACTCTAATTTGCCGAACGTTTCTTTACTTTTCCTTCTGACGCAAAGAGCAGACGTGTCAACAAAGTGTCTTGCTGTTAGTGCTCGGATGTAGTACAGTTACGGGGGAAAAATATGGAGATACCTGCCTCTGGCCAGTTCTGTATCCACGCAAACTTACAACGCTAAGTGTAACCTCATCCTCTGTTACGTACGTACGGGGAAACACATTTAACGGAAGAGGAAGAAGATTTGCTTACTAATAGTTTTGTTTCAATTGTAGAATAAAACGTTTCGCAGCCAGTACCGTGTGATAACGTCGTCGGATATCTCTCTAGCGAGAATCTTATTTAATTGCGCCTCGATATTGCTAGTAAAAAGTCAAAACACGCCAAATATTACATGGATTTATAATATCCTGCAAGCTTTGCGAGCTCGAATCCAAATAAATAAAATATTTAGGAATATATATATATAGATATATAAATGTAGATCTGTAAATCGAGCGCTAGAAAAAGAGATTCGGAACTCGGAGAAACAGTAAACGCGTTCTCTAAATCCCAAATCCTTTTTTAATACTCTGCGTAACAACACAAGATTGAAATAATCGTATGTACAATGTCAAAAATTGTGTTTGTTTGATGGAATCTAGTGGAAACACTTTGCAATCGTCAAACACGAGGACGAATACAGTGTAGAAATATAGAATGCAGGCGCAAACCAAATAACAGTAAAAAAAAAAACAATAAAAAATAAAAATATCTTCAATATTTTTTCTACAGCTATCACTCTCTACGTTAGTTGAACATACATACAAACGTACAAAATATATCCAACAAATACAAACTCGTATATAAATTGCACAGACTATATTTATTTGGTCGCTTCGAGAGACAATAATACTAACGAAGTGGACCTGCATTCGCAAAAGACTAAATTGTAAAACTCCGTTGCGTGACTGCCTGCTTACCTGGAGCACGATGCGACGCGATGGATATTTCGAGCATGGCCTCCGCGAGATCCTCTCTCAGTTGACTCTCACAACTGCCTACGGCTGCGTTCTCGCTCTCCAATGGGTCGCCGTAAGCCTCCATGAATCTCGGCGATTGCTCGTAACTGCCTGGCAAGTCGAATAATAGATTTTATTTTCTTATGAATAACAAACATAATTGATTAGTGATATAATAATTATATTTAATAGATTTTGTTCTTCTGTAATTCGCGACATTCTACTGTGCACTCACTTCCTGATCCGTCGATGACGACTGGCATCAAGGGTCTGGACGCTGCATGCGGCATGTTAACGGGCTTCGATCTCGCTGGACGCGATCCAGTGACGCCGATCTCGACTGCCTCCGCTTCTACCAGGTTAACAGCGACACTAGTAATGATGGATTTTTCATTAATTTCTCGCACGGTGAAAGTCACGATTGCGATTGACAAAAATTGAAGAAAACCAACCCGCTGGGCGCGTTGTAGGTCTTGAAAACAAATTGCGGCCCCATCCACAATCGCCTATGCGGTCCAGCGTGAGTCACGATCTCCACTTGACTCAGCCAACGATCCTCGGCTGTATCGAGTTCCTGGTTGTTCTTCGGTGCAAACGAAACATTGAGCAACGGATTGGACAGCGGCAACGGCGGAGCGAGTTCCGTAGAATTGGGCGACCTGCAGAGCGGCCACTGGCCCTTCGCTTCCACTTCCAATTCGATCATCGTGTCGTCGCAGACCTTTTCCTTTGGCACTCCTGATGACATCAATACAAGCGAGTGTTACGTATATAAAGGGAAATTGAAATAATAAATAATTGAATGCAAAAAGGTGCGTTTTATTCGCGAAATTACCGGCAGCTGCTTTCGGTTCCAGATCGTACTGTATCATGTTTCCGTGACACGCCATGATGAACAAGGAATCAACCGCCCTTTTAACAACCTTGCTACTGGATTCCCTCTGTGCGTACATCCAGGCCCTCGGCGGAGCGAAGCACGCGCAGATCTTTAACGGTAACGTGCCGTTATCGTCAGAGTGCAACCGCTGCCTTTGTTGCGGTCTGCTGCGAAACATACGGTGTCGTTTCATCACATTACAGCTCATTGTTTTCGCGACGCGAGTTTTATACGAAAGCGGTAGTTACCTCGGCTGCGACGAGCTGTTGACCTGATTCAAAGATGACGGCTGCCGAATCTGTGAAAGAGGATGCAGTATCGTCGGATGAGGATATGGTGGAAGTCTCGGATTCGAGTATGGATACACGGACAGCGGAAGCTCCGCGTGGGACACGGGTGAGTGCGACCGGGTACTGTCATCCGTTAAACCCGCGCTCCTATGAAATCTCGACAGCCTGTTGACGACATGAGGCGTAGAATGCGTCCTGACGCCAACGGGACCGCCGTAAGGAGCAACGGGAAAAACGTGCGTGGTGCCTCTTACAGTTGAAACCGCCGCCCAGCGAGTATCGCTCGAGAACACCATATCCTGCAACGAACACACGATCAATATTTTTGTACAAATTACAAGAGTGTCGTTTTCATCATTAAAAAATTATTGCATCTTTTGAAAGTATTTTTAGAGCAGTTTTTCTCAAACATCACTCTTGATAAACCAAAAAAAGTTTATTAAAAAGTTTCACTCGGAAAATTCGAAAGAAAAAATTCTGATAAAGGTCAGTTTGTTCTTTTAATTCTTTCTGTCGCTGTCGCATCATATTAATAATAATTATTATATTAATAAAAATATTAATACTTGAATAAAAAAATAAAATTTTAATTTGCATCCTAATTACAAAACTATATAATGCAAAAGATTGAAAAATGAAAAATTGCGATAAGTGACAACCTTCCTCGTTATCTTCACTGAAAAAAAAATCGATCAAGTGGTCATTAAAAATCATTAAAGTCGCGAGTTGCAAGTCATATTGCATAATTAAAACAAATGCAAAGTAAAAATGCGTACCTGCACTTTCGCGGTGGTATCGCCACGATGTAAGATGTATAGGTGATGCACCGCTGCCAGTGTTGGTCCGCCGGGATGCGGTTGGATCTTGAATACGTGAAAGTCGTGTCCCCTTTTGTCCGCTGTCATTAGCAGCGCACCGGTCAGGTCGAAAGTCATCGCGACGATCGCGTCGCTATGAGCGGTAAAGTGTGCGATCACAGCCTCCGCGTTCGCGTCGTCCAACTCCTTCTCGTCCCTCGCGACCTGAAGATCTAATATTGTAACGACGCCCGGTTGCGTTACGTCATTGCCCGTGTTATTGGCAACCATCGGCGACACCGAATTTCCGGTCAGGCTCGAAGCTACCGTCTCTCCTAGCCCGCGGAGACCTTTGCCGAGAGACTTTGCGGCGTATAAAACTGTCGCCGTGTAACTCTGAACGCCCTCCCCTTCGCAACCGCCGCTGCTTCTTCTCACGGGTATTAATTTCTTCTCGCTGCAAACAATCAGAAAAAGGCATTATCCCGGGATTGAACGAAACGCACGTGTATTCACTGTTTTAAATGTCAATGCTTGCAACAACTTGGAACTCGCACCCATTATCGCCGCATACATTCTTGTGTCGCATTACTAATTGCGGGCATTAACATTTAGACTATTATGTGTATCACTGACGATTTCGATCGCAATCCGTGTGTATCAAATTTGATACACAGTCTAATGCAATCTCCTATCGCTGTATTCCTGAGAAATACACACTCGTGCAGATTTATCGTAAATTATAGACGTGCCGTGCCGACATTTGCCATCGAGAATCACTAATTTTTGCATGTTATCATTACTCATTAAGTCAAAATGGTTTAGTAATCTAAATGTCAATGCAAAAGACATTAATGTAATTAGCAATAACAAGAAAAAAAGACAAAGCGTATGACATTCTTTACCTGTAAGCGAGCCATCGTGTACCCAAAGCAACGGGGTTTGGATTCGGGCCAGGGCTGGCGTAGCAGGTAGTGATTGTTATATTATTTTGCAACGTTCTGGCATCAAAGACCGCAATTTTTTCTAATAACGTTACAACCACGGACCGCCTGTTCGCCAGCACGTCGCAGACGGGATTCTTGAACGCCACACTGTGCACCGGTTCGCCGGTCTTCAGCGAGATGAAGTTAACGTCGCAGAATTTTGGTCCCGGAAGAGTCGAATCCAGCTCGGAGCAGATCGCTACCATCGGCCGTTTCGCTTCGAATTCGTCGACGTGCTCGTCGTCAGTCTTTGGATTTGGCAGAATTCGAAGGGTGCGTACCACGCCTTGGCGCCATGACAGGACTTCCGTCGCCTCTCCTGTCGCCGCTATTAGCCACACCTGCGATTTGCGAACCGTATTAGAGATGAGAATTTCTCAATAACAATATATCGTGCTAAAAACATCAACTTGACGCTGCAAGATAGCGATTAAACATGCAAAATGCTGAAAGAAGTCGCAATATAAATTTGTAATCAACGTGAATCGTTCACCTGAACACCAACTGCGTATCCTAGCACCAATAACAACGGTGGTGTACTGGAACCCTCATTGTAGTCGGGATACAAAGCGGGATCGTTTATATCCGCATACTCAAATCGCGCCCATGATATGGTTTCCCTATTATCGGAGTTGGATACCCCGGCGTATCCCTGTGGATAATTAAATATTTAGACTATAATATATACACCAGACAGTCTCTCAATTAATATGTATATACCTGTGGTACTATGTCATTGATAATTCCGGCGACGCTATCGATGATAGATCGATCCACTATAGGTTGAGGTGAGACAATTTGAGCTCCTTTATGCACACCTCGCCTCGGTGATTCCGCAGACATTTTTTATACCCAAATTAATTTTATCTACCTGTAAAGAAAAGACAATCTCGCGTCATTAAACAAGTCTTAAACACAATTAGATAAATTGAACAAGAAGATAGTGTTTGTCAATTGAATGCAATCTTTTTTGTTTAAAAAAATGGTAAATATTTAAAAATACTTATAAAAGAGCTTTTTATATATCTAAAGAGTTTCGAAAAAATTATAATCATTGATTTCATAAACAAAAAATGTATTATTTACAAGTCCCAAATAATTCAAATTTAATTCCTAAAATGGGTAAACTGTATTTTATACTTCACTGCACTTTGAAAAATGTAGTATGCAAAAATTGAAAACATGAAAAGCGATTGCATTGGAATATTCAGTTGTTCTCATTGTTATTAATTATATCCAAAGTGCACGAATAAACAACTGTCACAGAATCTGCCGAGCGGATTTAGGGAACATCGCGAAGTCGTGCGATATTGACGTCGATATCGACGAAGCGCATAAAAAACGCACTGTAGACAAAGGAAAACTAACACTCGCGTACCCTTGGCGAGAGATATAAACGCGTCTCTGTGAGCCGACGAGCGAGCGAACGAAGGTCGAACTCCGGAAACGACGACAAAACAAACTGGCTGCGCGCGCGCGCAGGGAAGACGATAAAAATGAAGCACCCTTTAAACCGTGATAAAATATAAATACCAACACGAATTACAGTTGTTGTCGTTCACATAATCCTCGCGCGGAGGACAAAGAACCCACGTCGGAGGTGCACCGTTTGGATCTCGTGAGTCGCGAGCATCACTACTACTCGTCGCAACATTCGACACTCGCCGATAGGATCGTCGTCGTCGACGAGGCTCCAAATACCCCACGAAGTGTCGTCGTCGTCGTCGTCGTCGTTGTTGTCGTTGTCGTTGTCGTTGTCGCGCGGTGCATTATTCAGTGCACACGAAAAGTGGGAAAGTACATTGGCTAGAGAGTCACTCGAGTCGGTGGCGGTGTGGTGCGTGTTGACGGCAAAACGGTTGGCGGTGGGAACAGAACGGATGGGTACGGGGAGAGGGGACCGGGAAAGTGGGTGAAGAGGGGGAGTCTATTTTGCCAGCCCGGAGAGAGAGAAAGAGAGGGAGAGATATGCGTGTTGCACAACGCAAGCACACAGCTGTGCGCGGAATGCGCGCTCAGGGACAATCGACGAAGAAAGTCACGAACGGGAATGAAGGAAAGAAGGAAGGAAGGAAGGCGGGATGGGCACCGAATGGCGCGGCAGGGCGCGTCATTGTGTCGTTTCCATAAACAAAAGGCCTCAACACCACGGAATTAGAAAACGGACGAGCGAAACGGGCTGAACGATGTACGCGCGGTTTACGACGCGCAGCGTTTACGCAACCGCGTTAAAAAAAGCGATGAGAACGCGCGGAATCGTCGTCGTTGTCGTCATTATTGTATGATAATACGTTATGAAGCAGAACGGGAGAGTATCACGGAGAAACAAAGGAAACCTTCGGCGCTTATCGCTCGCGATCCGCTCGTTATTATCGGAGCGTCGGGGGACCGCGAGCTCCGAGATCGCGCTCGCGGAACTTTGTCCGTGATCGATAGAAAAGAGGACGGGAACGTAACTGTTTGTCGTTGTTATAACTTACACTTTTCACCGCGAAACACCGTGTCTTCTCATCGCGCTCCGCGCGCGCGCTGCTATCCACCTACTGCGTCATTCTACGAGCGCGCGACTGGCTGACGAACGGACGGACGACACTGACTGGGCAATGATGTCACAAGCACCGTGCGCGACCGCGACGGATCTCCGCACACGGATCACTTCTTCTTCTTCTTATTTCTCTCCTCCTTCCGGGAGGAAAAACGCGCACACGACGCGTTCTCGCACGAAGCAAGCAGCGCACTTCACTCCGTTCTTCTTAATGTGGTAGACGCGAATGACGGGCATACACATACGCGCGCGCGCGCGCGCGATCTGCCTGCCCTCGGCGTGTACACACACGCAATCTTTCTCTCTCTCCTCTCTCTCTCTCTCTCTCTCTCTCTCTCTCTCTCTCTCCCTCGATGTTTCTCGCGGAACGGGCGAAATTCGCGGACGCGGATTCGCCGCTGGTTACGCGTTAGTGCGCGCCAACATATCGCGCGCCGCCACGGGCTGCTTTGGTGTCGGAAGAACGAAAACAATAATCAGCTGATTCAGCGACGCGGTGATGCAGGGACGTGGGAGGGGGGAGAGAACGGCGAGAGAGAGAGAGAGAGATCGGTCCCGCGATCGGAAACAAAATGCGAACGTTCTTTGCTGCCATTCAAATTTGCACAATTCATTTTGCGCAAGTGAGCTCGAGTATTTTTTTAAGAATTTCATTGCTGTTGCTAACAAGAATCTATCTTCAATCGTTGCTAAATTTTCAAAATGTAATAGGATTATGTCTTGTCAATAGTGAAATGCACACATTTTCATAATAATAATAATGAAAAATGTGCACATACATACATGTACATATTCCTTCTTATCGTTATAAAATTTTGATTGATTTGCGTTGCACGTCAAATATACTTTCTGTATTAATATTTTATAATTGTTTGCATATTTTTACAATAACAAAAAACCACAAAGTTGAAGTTCGAGAAACTTGAGTGTGCGTCAAAGACATTTTCTACAATTATAGAATTATTCGATTGTTAGAAAAAGAATTGTAGGAACATTCACATTATAGAAACTATCATGTAGAAACTAAAATAATTACAGAAACAAGCTGCAAGATGCGAAGAGTAAACACTTCCAGTAGATGCTGCATATGAGGAAAAGGAGAACGCCTTTCTAGCGCAACACTGAACGCAATTTTTTTTCCTAAGCCGCATACATTAAGCCGGTCTCACGATGTTCACCGTGACCTGCTTTAATTTAATCGTAATTGTGCTGATACACAACACCGTCGCACGTCCTAATTTCTTACTGATTATTGTCGATGATCTAAGGACCACTCTGAGATGTTACGGTGACGCAAATGCGTACACGCCGAATATAGATGGCTTGGCTAAGGACAGCATTATCTTCAACGAAGCATTCGCACAGGTCTTTATCTTTCCCTGCACAATTCACTTCAATTTCAACACTTTACTTTTTGCTCAGCGCGTAAAGGAAGTGATGTTGTTGTAGCAAGCCTTATGCGCGCCCAGCAGGAACTCCTTCCTGACGAGCAGAAGACCAGACACTCTTCGACTTTACGATTTCTATAATTACTGGCGTGATACAGTTGGTAATTACACCACATTACCGGAACACTTGAAGAACAATGGATACACCACGATGTCCATAGGGAAGGTATTCCATCCAGGTAGAACGAAAACTTGCACAGTTCCATTTTTCTATGATTTTTAAGGCGAGAACAATCGTTGTTGCAAAATTCACAAATGTCCTTTTAATAACAGATTCTTTGTCTTCGACACTTTCGCCGAAGAAAAATCAACTCCGAAACAATCATTAAAGTGATACATTCGCGATTTTTGAGACACACTTGCGTCTGTTACAGGTATAAGTTCGAATGGATCCGACGACAGTCCTTATTCCTGGACTGAGAAGCCTTTTCATCCATATACAAATCGGTACAAAAATGCTCCTGTCTGCAAGACAACTTCGCAGTCAGAAGCGGCAACCAATCTCGTAATGTGCTACAAGATATTTCTAAATATTCTACATATAGAAAACATCTCTGTATATAATATTTTACAGATATGTCCGGTATACGTCTCGGCCATGCCAAACAAAACATTGCCCGACATCGAGACGTTGCGAGAAGCGAGGAAATTCATACGCAAGCATAGAAGAGATTCGAATCCTTTCTTCCTGGCTGTCGGCTTTCAAAAACCTCATGTACCGCTCAAGTATCCTCAACGCTATCTAAGTACACTGTAACTTTTACTAATTATAACACTAATCGTTTGATTACCACAAGAAATCCAAATACTAAATCTTGTTTAAAAATTACTAACGACATTGTGATCAATCGTAGCACAGAACTCAAATACCTAAACTGTTAATCAGTTGCTTATCTTTCAATATAGAAATATAATGCTGAATGGCAACGCTAAATCTCATATAAAGATATAAAAAAGCACAGCGCGCATCACGCGCATTGATAATTTTATAAATTGCAATAAAGTCGCTTTTTGGTAATCAAACAATTGAAAACAATTGAAAAATTAATTTCTTCGCAATGAAAATATAACAATTTGTAATAATACTTTACAATCGTTGTAAGATGTTAAAATTGTGCATAATGTAATGCTTGTAAACGCAGAGTACCATCCGATACAAAAATTCAAGATGCCTGAGCCGTATCTGTGGCCAGACGACGTGAATAATGTTGCTTATAATCCCTGGACCGATCTTCGATGGAGAAGAGACGTGGCGAAGTTGAAACTGAAGTTTCCGTGGGAAAGAATACCAGGTACGGATACATTTGTTCCATATTTAAATGTGCATCACTACATCTTTATTTCTCATCGATCATTGCATTTTTAGAGAAATTTGGTAAGCTAATTGTCCAATCGTACTACGCGGCCGTGTCTTACATCGACAATATGATCGGCAAGCTCATACATCAGCTGCACGTTTCAATGATTCGAGAGAATACTATCGTAATATTAACATCTGATCACGGTACGTTTGATTAACACATACAAAATAATAGTATTCTGTAACTTAACATTGTGTGAACGTTACAGGCTGGGCACTCGGGGAACACGCCACTTGGTCTAAATATAGCAACTTTGACGTTGCTGTGCATGTACCTCTGATAATATCGATTCCAGCAGTCACATTTAGCATTGATAATTACAGCGAATATGCAAAATCTGCAGATCGCGCGAAATATAACGCAGCAGTGAGGAGCGGTGGTGGATTTGGGAATAAAACCGACTCGAAATACATGATGTTGAAATACGTCAGAAAGATCGGCGCTTGGAAAACGTACAAAAATACGGAATACATAATCAAAGGTGAAAAGACTTTCCCGGGCATTCAACAGAAATGCAACAAATGCGCGGAGAGCGGCGCAGTGAATTCTAAAAATTGTCGAGCGACAAACGCTGTCGTGGAACTCGTCGATATATTTCCGACGATCGCAGATCTGGCAGGTGTTCCCATACCGGTGTGCCAAACTAATGATCAACACTCGAGAAATATTTCCGCATATCGAAAGGAAGCGTCGAATCCTTGCAGCGAGGGTATCACGCTTTTACCGCTTATAAAAAGTACGCTAAGGTGTCAGGTAAGATGTATTTCTTATTCGGCACAATTATGTTTTTATACAAAATAAAAATACCGCATTCTTATCTTCATACAAAAATTCAGAATACATCTTGGAAGGAGGCGGCGTTCAGCCAATACCCGAGACCGGGAATTCAACCTACGTTACATCCCAACAGCGATAAGCCTCGTTTGAAAGACATAAATATAATGGGTTACACTTTGAAGACCGGCGATTATCGATACACCGCGTGGATACCGTTCGCGCACGAGACGTGCAAACCAGATTGGGATATCATTATCGCAGAGGAACTGTACGATCACAGAACTGACAGAGCGGAAGATTTCAACATAGTGGCTTCGCCGAAAATGCTAAGCACGAAAAAATATCTTAGATCATTGTTAAGAAAAGGATGGAGAAATGCTCTTCCAAGATCTTCAAAATCTCAACACTAATATTTTCATATAACATCAAACTAAATAACGCATTTAGCATTGCATCGCTGTGTTATAGATATTTAGACAGATATAAGAGATGCATGTAACAAATAATTTATAAATTATGAATTAAAGGAATTAAGTTCGTATTATATATCAGCACTAATTAATTACAGAATTAATCAATTATAGTTCGTTTATTTAAAAAAATCGTAAATTTATAAGGTATTTCTTACAAAGATATGTGTAATATTTAAAATATAAACATATTTAACAAAAAATACCTTTAAAAAATGATGATTGTAATTAATGATTCTAATTAATTGCAACCAAAATTAACAAATTCTGCAGTACATATGGGCTTCTTCGAAATGTGTCTTACTCTAGTACAAAGACTTCCTACCAAGATTTTAAATAGTGATATACAGGGTCTTCTAAACGAAACGTATTATTAATAGCAGATTCCTGAGAGCCTTTGCAGATGAAAATTTTAATACTAGAACGTCGAGTTCATATAATATTTCTTGAAGGAAAAGTGTTTACATCTGTTTATCAATTAGATTTTTAACAACAAGCATATCCAAACTTGTTGCGCATTGAAAATATCCTCAAACATTACCTCTTCGATATTGATATAATTTCTGTATTATTATTGAAACGACTTTATATAACGAGAGATACGTTCAGTTTGGAACATCCTGTATATGGTATACCTAGATACATATCACTTTTACATTGCCTGTACAATAAAAGATGCAAATTTTGCAATTCGTATAATGCATACAAAATTAATTAACTATATATTGATCTTAAAAATATAATGCTATAACTATCTTTTATATTATACGAGAAATCAGCTCAAAATGTACGTAGTGTAATTATACGTGATGTGACTTCAGCTTATAGCTTATGGATTTATATTTCACTTAGTGATAATACCGTTCCTCTCTATAATAAATTAGTTATATAGGAAACCTACTCTTCTTTATCTTTACTCTTATCAGTTGATTGTACTGATACTTGTGCGTTTGATGTACTCGCGTTACTTGTAGTGGGTATCTGTCAATACAAATAGCGTAATTATAATCAATAAATTGTGCGAAGAAAGGAATTTGTATTATCAATGTTAATTAAAATTTATCATTCAGCTCATGTAAAAAAAATCATGACTTTATTGCAAAGATATCTAATAAAAATGTTTGAAAAATAAACGCTATACATATTTAATAAAAGATCACAAAAATACGACGACTGATCCAATTGCAGTTATAATAATAAATTAGCAAATTATAAAGTGTGTATAAGATTATTCGACTTTCTGCTATACGATAAAGCAGTAGAATAATGTATAATATTATACCTCAATTATATCGATCGTTTCCTTGCCTACATAATTGTTAGCCGTTGAAACTTTTGGATATGTAAACGGATTCGTCACTAGGTCTGGCCTCTGTGCTACATTCGGCTGTACGTTCGCACGTTCGTACGTTTTATTAACGTTTACATAACCTCCCGATGCAAGCAGTTGATTCAGTTGTGATATTTGTTGCTGCAAAACACGAAAATGATAAATATTTTGAAAAAGTGCACAATTCAATGTACAGATAGACCACAATTATACTTACATGTGCATTGATGTTGCCCGCTGTATGTGGCATCATCTGTTTTTGTTGATAGTTCTTTGTTAAAAGAATATTGTGTTATAAAAATTATGCATTCCATATAAAAAAATATATTTAAACTAATGAAAATACATTGAAGAAAACTAACAATGAAACAACTTATTAAATTATTAATATTAATAAGCAGATAAACTATTACCTGCTGCATATTCATTGGATTTCTCATAGGTTGCTTAAGCGCAGCTTGTTTCTCCCAATAATTGTACGTGTCTATTACGGCACGATTTGTCATCAACTTTAATTGCTCCGGTGTTGCATTAGGATACTACAAAAAATACCCCCAATCATAAATAACTTGCTTGAGTAATATCTTACAGTTGATTGTACACATTACTTATATCTTTACTTACTTGTTCACGGCACAATTCATGGATGGTTTCATACTCGGACTGAATTCCTTGCTGCATCATGCCGGCGTTCATCATATACTGCTGTAGAAGGAAGTTCTGATGAGCCGAATTAAACGAGTTTATAGGCGGTTTTCCCTTCTTCTCCTCTTCATATTCCAACCAAGCCTGTTTACGTTCCTCTTCATCTAATTCCTCTTCGGCCTGTTAAACGTCAATTTATTACACATAAAATACGAAGACAAAGATTTTCTAACGAAATAATATTTCTTGCCTTAAAATTTTTCAGAGTCACAAGCACCATTATCTGTACGCAATTTAAATTACATTTTATTCGATAACAATTTGAACCGAATGTTTCAGCCTTACATTGGATTCTTTTCAGTCGTAACATGCAAAAAAATATTTAATTGAAATTGTTGAATGAAATATTATTTAAGTTGAGCAAATAATCACGCTTGTATAGCTCTTGATAGTTTTCCTTTTAATTTATCGCTTTAAAAATCATTTTTATTATTTTTGATTTTGTTATTTAATTAATTTAATTAATAACAAAATCAAACTTAATTAATTTATTTAAAATCAACAAATCTGTTCGCTTATTTAATTTCTCACCTGGTTTTTCAAGAGAGAATCGTGTTCGTGATAATTTTCCACGACATCCTTGTATCTTAAAAGTATGTCCGCCAACAATCTGTCTTTAGGCAAATTCAGCGTAGGCTTGTCCTCGCCACTCTTGTATGGCTCCAACATATACAATTCGCTTAGCTCGTAAGTACTGAAATGTCGATCGATTTGCTGCTCGTCCACGACCCGGCACGAGAGCGAGAGCTTTGTGACTTGACGATTGTAGATCTTCTCTTCCATCGTGCCCGCCGCGAGGAATCGATACACGTAACACGGCTTCTTTTGGCCGAATCTGATAACAATCATATTAATAAATCAGAAACGAACGACTTGAAGTAACGATAAAATCGGATAATCGAAAAAAGTACCTGTATACTCGAAATATGCTCTGTACATCATGCGAGGGATTCCAACTGGCATCGAATATAATCACTCTGTTCGCCGCGGTCAGATTTATGCCCAATCCTCCAGCGCGTGTGGATATAAGAAACAACCTAGCCCTCGTATTGGTGGGCTTGTTGAAAATTTTACACCAAATACTCCGATTTTCGGCCGACGTCTGACCGTCCAGTCGGAAGTAATCGAGGCCCAAAGACCAGCTTCCGGTATGACTGTTCAGTGTCTTCAACGATGTGTCCTTCTGAGTCTGATCATCTATTCGTCTGAGAAACTCCTCGATTAGAGTGAGGGAATATAGAGATTGCGAAAATATGAGCCTGTGGAGTGATAAATGCAACAATAACAATAAACAGACATTACGCAATCGTTCTTACCGCACAATAATTGTTAATTGCTAAATACGCACAGTTTATCACCGATCTGTTCGCATTCCTTTACAATTTCGAAGACGAGCGACAATTTAGCGGATACCCGGAGGTCCTCGAAATGCTCCGGTTGCACAAACTGTGTCCACCATTCCGCTTCTGAAATCGGAGCCTCCTCTCTAACCTCCTCCTCTGGCTCGTCTTCTGGAAATTAAGGCAACATTTCAATTTTTTTTTCATCAATGTTTTATCAATTTATTCTTTAAGAACAAACTGCACGAAACATCATTCATTGCGAAAACTTACCGCCAGGATTGTTCCTCGTTTTACGCTTGGGAACTTCATCGATAGCCTGAACATCACTGTCGCTATTTGAATTGCTGCTGTCACCTGCATCAGACGTGTCGTCATCAATAAAATCTCTCAAGGAACCTTCCGAATCGCTCGTGAGTTTTTTCTCATTAGCCTTCTCTATTTTCGCTGCGTTCCAACGCAAAACCATGGGATGCGTCCAGATCCGTTGCAATGCCTGGTAATCCGCGAAAAGAGTTCCTCCTCCACCAGAGTTCTGTTTACGGTTTCTACAGTGAAAAAGCATATAGCAATGTAATTAGTTTGATTAGAAGGTGATCGTCAAGTGTCACTTAATCGAGAAGAAGGACACGATAAATATGTATGTCATCTCGAATTTACGTACCTCGCGAGATTGGCTAAGTAATACTCGTACATTTTAATTTGTATGTCCGTCAGTTGAACGAAAATCACATACTCCTGCTTGGGCGGTAAAAATGGTGTGAGCACAGAGTAATCGAACCTCTGTACGCTGCCCTCCAACATCTTGTGCAACACATGCGCACGCTTTTTCATTATTTTGACATCGTAAGTAGTGGAATCGTCGAACTGACCGTTCTGTATCGGATTCACAAATCTGTTCAAAAACTCTTTCTTCGTGCCCAACAGATTGGGCTTCACAAACTGTACCATGCAGTGATCTGCAAATTCAAATCGAGCGGCTGTGTAAACACTCGCTTTTATAAAAATGTACAATCGACCAATTGTTCTTCTGAACAAGTTACTTACATTCTATTAAATTATTTTGCAGCGGTGTCCCAGTCAGCACTATGCGTCTCAAAGTCTTCACTCTTCTCATGCACTTACTTATCGCGGACTCCTCGTTTTTCAATAAGTGACCTTCATCGCAGACAACAAGATCCGCGCCTGGATCCACTAAATATTGTTCTATCGCTTCCCTCATTCCCTTTCGAATGTTCTTATTCGGCCTGGTGAGATTGCGGAACATTTCGTAACCGAGGATCATCACGCCACCGGTTTTCTGCCATCTTTGCAACTGATATTTTCTCTCGAAATTCTTTTTGAACCTGGAAATATTATTATTTGTTTGCATATTTATCGTTGAAACTCAGATTGCAAATTGTACGGCACTTTTCCGGTCAAAATTACAGACAAAAAGATGTATACTTAAAACTCGCATATACTCGCCTTAATTTTAAATACTGCATCACTATTTCTCATTATTTTAACATAACAAATAGCAAAAGAAATCAAGCTTAAAAACGCTGCGGACACAACAGTATATTAGAATAAACTCACTTCGTCAGCTCGTACACTTCGATATCGTCCAAATCCTTCAGCCACGAGTTGTACTCATTTCGCCAGTTAAGCACCGTGCTCAAGGGGCAAACTATCAATACTGTTTTAACGCCCAGCTCCTCCTGAGTGAGGAGGGTGTACGTCAGAGCGATCACTTGCAACGTCTTACCCAGACCCATACAATGGGCGATTATACATCCGGATCCAGACGTGGTCTTCGCTCTCTCGAGAGACTCGTAGCAGGCGTCCCACATGAATTTTATGCCTTGAGCTTGATGCGGTTTCAGACGTTTCACCAACCCCTCGTGCACGCTTACGAGCTCTTTCTTCGTTTCCGTATCAAAGTCCAGGACCAGCTTATCCACTTTCTCCTCTCCAGCGAGTCTCATCTCATACATATCATTATACTGTGACAAAAAAAAATAGCTGTGTAATATATGCATTAATCAGGGGGAAAATTTGTAACGCAGTCACGAGATATACCAGCGCTTGACGTTCAGCGATACGTTTAAGCCTTTCCTCCTCTTCCTTGGCAGCCAATTTAGTATCCTCCGCTACTTGCTTGTCTTTCCAAACTTTTCGGATGTTTTTTCGACCACTTTTACCGGGCGTAGATCCTTGCGAATTATTCACCTCGATTTTACAATCACTACTGTCGCTGTCGGATGCCATTTTCTTAATTCGTTTCCGCTTTGGTTTCGGTCTGCAAGTTATGCCAAATATTATTAGCACAAGTTTCTAAAATTAAAAAATGGATAAGTATGATGTATATATTTACTTCTCTTCCTCCGACGAATTATTACCGCCACGTTTGCGTTTCTGTTTATCATCTGAATCTTCGGATGTGTTATCTGAATCTTCGGAACTACAGTCCGTCAGTTTGATGTCCGAATCGGAATCCAAGATTCTCCGCTTGGTCTTTTTCTTCTTTCTCTTCTTCTTAGATATCTCTTGTTCTTTGTCATCTTCGTCGGAATCGCTGCTGCAAAAGATTTCAAGCAAAATTGTTTGTCGTTTCTAAAATAAAATTAATTGGCTAGCAAGTGAACAAGCTTACTTATTCTGTTCCACTTCTTTTTGTTTCTTATTCCATTTTTGCTTTTCGGCTTCGGATTCAGTGTCAGAGAATTTCATTGTCAATATCTTATCTTTCCTCCAATTTTTGCTAGTTTTGTCTTTCTTGTCCTAAAACATTTGAGAGAAAATCAATATTTCTTTTAACGCTCATTTCATATATCAATATAAAAAAAACAATAGAATTAAGAATACAACTTTACACTCTAAAGACTATAATAAAATTAGTCTTTTTAAAAATGATAAGACTCGGCAAATAATAAAATTATAAAACAAAAGGAGCCAAAACGCTTGATATCAGTGCGAATAAACTTGTATTGAGTTATAAAAACATTAAAATGAACATCGTTGTTTGATTGTTTTGGCTCCTTTTGCTCCTGTCGTTTTATAATTTTATTAGTCTTTTTCTTCTTATATTCTATTTGTTTACACTTTTTATTGAATTATAAGTTAATTTTATAAATTATTATGCCTTACATCATCCTTCTTTTCTTCCTGTTTTTCAGTCTTCTTCCGTTTCGTTTTATCTTCTGTGTTTTTATTTTCATCGTCTTTATGCGTACCATCATCGCTATCATCGAGTAATTCCACTTCTTTTTCTAAATTTAAATAATACAACATTCGGAATAAATAAACCAAAATAAACTCACAAAATAATTGTATATAATATTGTTACTAATGAATTATCTTAGTCTTTATTCAATTTTAAATAAATGTTACTGTAGAAATCTTATTTGATTGAGTTTTGCCAAAGATTTTTGCTAAATTTCAAAAGTTGGAAATTTATGAAAAAGGAAAACTCTATTTTTTTTTAAAACGATTTCGGATGTGCTAAAAAATGTAGTCGTGAAAGAAGTTGTGCCACGCGCTTCAAACACTACATTTGAGAACATTCTTTAATGCATAACAATTTCTTTCCCACTAATAATAAATTGATCTTACCATCTGAATCAGAAGAATTTAATAGATTCTCTTTCGCAATTCTATTTGCCTCTGATATCAGAGTCTCATTAGATACAGGCGCACCTATTTCTTTTATTTTCTCAAGATGAACTGATTCGTCGGAACTAAGATCCGCTCTTTCCACTTTGATTGCCAAGGCATCATCATTCTCTATTCTTTTCAAATGATCCATCAAAGTCTCTTCGGCTTGCTTTTCCTTGCGTTTACTCGAATTTTTCCGTTTATTTGATAACGCATCATCATCGTCATCTGTATTGGATTCTTTTTCCTTTCTGTTGCGTCTCTTTTCGATATTATCCAGATTAACAAGACTGAAAAGGACAATGGATATAAGGTACTTTGGACAATGACCAATTAATACGATAAATGTCTTGTGAAAAATTTATTTTGTAAAAAAATTAATATCCTTCACCATAAATATGCAAGATATAAAGTGTAAAGCATACAACAGTAACGCATAAAAATCAGTGTATCGCCAGAACTAAATATTATTCATATTCTTTTTGCAATTATTTTACATTTACTCATGACTGCAAATATACAAGGTAATGCAACACAAACATTTTTCCACTTACTTGAACCGAAGAATTGTCAATATGGAGAAGTATTACGTGAATCGATATACAAACATCATTTAAAATACAAATTGTATTTAGAAACAATTATGCAATTAAATTCTTTATTTACGCAATTCAACTTTGAATGAAAATCTTTCCTTCGTTATATCCTTCGTTTTTGCAAAAGAATGCACCGTTAGTTGAAATTTGAAGAAATTTGAAATTTTGAAGAAATAGTATAGCAAATATACTTTTATTCTACATCCGCTATTTGTTCATGTGATCAGATATAATTAAACATGTGAGTTTTTTTTACTTTAGTTAATCAGTTAATTTCTAAAATGTATATACTTTTTTCTATGGGTCTCATTATCAAACAAGCTAAGTGAAAAATGTCGAATCTCATTGCATTACTTCGTAAACATAACAAAATCATCACAGAAATATCTTGTGTATGCTGTGTAATGTAGGAACTAATAATGTAACGCTAATATCAAACGCTCGAATCAACACGTTTATGAAATAATTCGGAAGAATTTTGTTAGATCTTTAAAGTGCAAAATTCTTTTTATCAATATCTTTGTATGTATAAATAATACAAAAAATATCCAAAATATTAGAATTAACGACAACGAACAATAAATCCTCCACACAGTGGATTATAGAAAAAGTTGAACATTACTATATACCTTAGATCCTTAAATAAATGCATTATACTGTATTATACTGAAAATTCAAATAAAATAACAGTTAAATTACTTCGAACGAGGCAAGACAACAGATAATGATTTTAAAAAATATTCTCGATACCTTTTAAACGCCTTTTGTTCCAGATATTCTCGTGACTTTCGTAACGCATATGAATGACGACTGAGAAGCTTTTCGTTCAATGGCATCAAGTGCACCTTGCACGACATTCTTAATTTTTCGTCGTTCCTGTAGTAAGAATTTTTGTTTAGCTGAAGTTTCTTTTTTTTCTTCAAAGGCGTTGACAAATCTCCGTCATCCTCAGGCTCGTGATTACGCTTAGAACGCTTTGTGTTTTGTGCGACGCGAGCTGTATCTGCCTCTGGCTCAGAATCGGAGTTTTCTTCAGAGGACGATGCCAATAGTGCCTGTTTTGCTTTCAGATTTTCGATGCAGAGACGCGATTCATTCTTTCCGTCTTCCGATTCCGACGACGATAAAATATCAATGTCTGAACTCGATTGTTCCAAAACAGCTTGCTTTTTCTTGGCATTTTCTTTGCTCGAAGAAACGATATCGTTATCCGGTTGACCGCTGTTTTCTCTTCCGAGTATCTGAGTTTCAGCTTTAGTAAAACTATTCTTCGCCGAACCCTTCATCTTCCGATTAATCGGTAAGATTACCGTACTAGTATTGCTGTCAGAATCATCACTTTTTGCTCTTTTCTTTCCGATATTGTCCGCGTTTACGTCTTCGTTGGAGAATGTTGTGGAATGCGTTTCGCTGAAATCGGATTCCGGTAATGTTTTCTTCGCCACTGCTTCGGTATCGCTCGAGTCCGCTGCGGTGGACTTTGCCTTCTTAGGTGTATCATTTACGATTGGTCCTTCCGCATCATGAATGTTTTCTTCCTTCCTTCCTTCCTTTTCATCATTCGCAGATGCGGATTCTACTTTGTCTTGATCATCTCGACTCGGCGAATCCTTTTCGTTTTCGCTATTATGGGATGAAAGTGATATTTTAAGTCTTTTACTCGAAACTTCAGTCTCCTGACAAGACAAAGTTTTGGATTTTTTTGAAGAATCAACTTTCGACAAAGATCTTGTCATATCAGACTTCGCTTTTTCATGTATTTCTTGTTCTTTCGTTTGATCCTCTATCCCATTCTTGGAAGTATCGGAAGATGCATCAAACATATCCGTGGACTCATTAATTATGTTTTCCCTAGAATTATCATCCGACGTTTTCTTTTTGCTACCGTCCCGAAAAGGAGAATCTTCAATCTCGGTTTCGTTGACAGAAGTATCGATGTTCGCATCCGCCTGCTCATCATTCCGCGAATTGTTATCTGTCGATTGTACCTCATTGTCACTTGTATTAACAGACTTCGAAAATAATTGCTTCTTGATCGATCGTTCTTCATTCGTCTTTTTTTCTTTCGCAGTACCTAATACAGGAGAAGCGGTTGCATCACGCGAATCATTTGCATCACTATCCTTCGAGTTATCCATTAATGTTTGATTTGCATCAGTCTTGGCGCTATTTTGACTATCTTTTCCCTCTTTTTTCGCCGATCTCATTTCGTCTGCTGAAAATATCTCGTCACTGTCGCACTCCGATACGTCCTTCTCTACTTGTTCTTTTCTGGTGGCGGAATGCTGATCTTTGCTGATTGAGCGTTCTTTACGTACATAGGTTTCTTCCTCCGACGTTTCTTCATCAGCATCGCTTACTATTTCCTGCGATTTTTTCGCGACAGCTTTTGTTCTATTTTTAGATTTAGACCATGATTCATAAAACGTGGTTAATTTCTGATTTTTCGTTTGTAACATTGTTGACAATTTTTCTATTTTTTCCGTGGACTTTATTAAAAGTTGATCCGCATCCTTTCTGCCGTACCGTTGTTCCAGAAACTGTATATACATTTGAAAATTTGAGCATATCTCTTTACATTCCTTCAGCGTTTCCTTAATGTTATCGATATTTAATTCGCTCTCTTTCATTCTACTTGCTAATATTTTCGGAGAGGGTGTATGTGTATAATCCATTTTTAAATCTACCAACGGTCTGGCCAAAAATTTATTGCCATTCACCTTCTGAAGTTTCTCCTTTTGGAATTCTTCACTCGAATTGGCATCTGAATTCTCCTTTTGAATAACAGTGATACGTCTAGTCGACTTCTGTTTTTTATATTTTATACTTTCCTCACTACTACTGCACAACATACCAACTTTTCTAGATCGTTTTTTGCTTCGACTCTTATTATCCACATTTTCAGATTCATTGTCAGAAGAATCAGTATAGTTGTGACTGTTTCTTTTGCTTTTTAGTTTTTTATCAGTCTTGATCGCTGATTTATTCGACAATGTATCGATAGAATCATTATCCGAATCAAACTTTTCCTTTCCATGTGATGCGTCTTTCTCTCTTACGTTTGATCTCAAAACTTTCTGTCTTGAAGAACTTTTGGAATTCCATCTATCAGAAGCTTTCGCCTTCTGATCTGCTCTGTTTTGTCTTTGTTTACGTAAAGTGGACCTATTCGAACATGGAGTAGATGAACTTTCACTAGACGAATCCGTCAAATACACTGCAGACTTGACTCTTCGTGTCGATCTCACAATCTGTTCTTCCGGCAAATCATTGCCCGAGTCATCGCATATACTACTTAAAACCTTTTGTATTCTTCCCTGTTTTTTTAATCGTTCCTTCTCAGATGGAAACATACGTCTGTCAATCTTCCTGCTGCTTCTTCTGTTATTCTTTCTGAAACAGAAGATCCATTCTATATGCCATTTATCTTCTTTTCCTTCATACGAAAGTATTGTACACATGCATTTCTCTTGTTCTTCTTTAACTCGTTCATTTTTGGAACTTTTAGTATCTGTCAGCCAGAAATGTAGCTAAAAATGTGATAGATCTTATTTTGCTCTTCTATTTCTCACATCTTGTTCTTATATAATTGTCTTAAGTTTGTTCTGTTAAATTATAACAGAACAGACTAACAGTATCAATTAAAAATTATAAAATAATGCATGCTATACAGTTTACTAGATATTGTAATATACTATATTAAATATTAAATCATGCAAAATTTGACCTCTGCATTATTAAGTCGCTACAATTCTATTAATTGTGCAAGCTTTTAATATTAACTTGCTAATAGATATAGTGACTATCAGCAAGTAATATATACTAGTATGCTATAGTATTCCATACATCATCATAAGCTCAATAAATGTATAATGTGCCAAATAAAAGTATAACAGTGATTTTAAATTTTACAAGCAATGTTTATATATTTAATCATACTTACTTAGAAAGAGAATCCATTACAGCAGCACATACAGCTCTCAACTCCCAAAATGGTTTAGAATCACACATGAAACATTTCCAATTTTCCTTTTCTGCATTCAGTAATGATAGACTTGCATTCCTTTTTATACATTTCTAGAAATAAAAAATGGTTAACATATAATCACAAAAACCTTTATATTTGAACTTTGATTAAAAATCATGCTGAATATATTACCTTACAGAATGCTGCGGAACAATTTTTGTTACTACAATCATATAATTTTTTGTTGTCACCACATATATAACAATAATTATCATCATTGTCTGATTCCTCTTCTACTTTGTTAATGCGATTCCAACATACCTGACAAAATAAAAATACAATATTTATTATAAGTACATAATTAGTAAGCAATGAATAAAGATACAATATTTATTACAATCTGATTAATAAACATACAATTAATAGAAAATAATTCATTCAAACTTTTGCTTCATATTTAAGCTTTACGTATAAAGTATAATTAATTTTATATAATATACAAATGGTAGCATCTACAAATATGTAATATCTTACTTCACATTGTAATATTCCCAGAAATGGATGTGAAAAGATTTTATTTGATTCGATATTCAATTCATTACCGCAAGAAGTACAGACTATTTGTCTGTCTTTAACAACTCTGATATCTGAATAGAAAATATATAATCTGTATTAATAAAATATAGAAATCTTGCTACATAAAAATATTGCCACAAATTCTAATACAAATAAAAATAATACATTTCAATGCATTTGTGCAAGAAGCACACTTGCAGTATTTAAGTAATATATTTGTTTTACATAAAATTATTCTAAAAGAACAACACATACAAATGCTTCTTTTACTTAATAAATGTAAATACAGAAATATTAATCATTGTTTGTACTACTGAAATTATATACTTTAATTTCAATTCTAATTATATCACATGATTAACTTACCATGAAAACATTTGCCACGATACAAGAGTTCCTGTGAAGTTGCCTTAACTTCTCTCTGAAAAACCAACGAAATGTAAACATAAACAGTAGATACTACAACAAAATTAATTCAAGTATTATCAAACATATCCTTGTTACATTAATACATACATTAATTCAATAAATATTGCAAATATTTTCATATATAACTCTGAAACACAGAAATGCACATTTTTCGACAAATCTATTTCCAGAAAAAATATCGTAGAGTACAACTATAAGGTTAAAATGATTTCTGCTTGCTAAAATACAAAGGTTTAAAGAAAGAAATTGTTAGGTAAATGCCTTGAAATTTTTGCTGAATTTCATGGATTTGTAGTCCTAGGATTACCAAACTTTGCATTACACTTATTTAAGTTATAACAAAATTGAACTAAATTTCATTGAGGTTGATGAAAAATCTGTAATAACATGCATATTTAACAGATAATATTAATTAATATTTTAATAATATATATAATACTTTATGATATATTACCTTTAATGACATGACCACAGGGCGAGCAGCAACTGAAGTTCAACGCTAACGTGCTTCAACGTATTAGCGAACCAAAAAAATAGTTGATTCTAGGACAACATAAAATGGCCTTGTTCTAGTTTACTTCTCACGATTCTTCTATACCTTTTATAACACCGACACGCACAATAATTCCCGAGGATATAAATATGTACTTATATTTGATCGTATGCACAGCGAACGGTGTGCACACCGCCACTACGTTCAATTCTTTCTGCCAATCTATGTTGAATTACAAATCAAACACTCAGACGAGCAATGCTGAACTACGTTGTCGCGACGCGATAACAACGCAGTGCGGATCCATATTTCTCATCGATCGATAGGTCTGAATTTTTCTCGGAATGGCGGGAAAATGAGAATTGACTAACTGTGATTTATATGCACTATTTGCAGATCCACCTCAGTAATAACAAGTAAATTCTATAAGGCCATTGCACGTAAAAAAGTTTTAGTCGTTTTAACCATAGGTGAAAATAAATCGACCAATCACAGTGAGTAATGCAAGTGACTCGCACTACTGCTCACTGTGATTGGTCGATTTGCTTACCCCTTATGACATTAGAGCATATACTAATGAAGGGAGCGAGCTGTGCCGGATGGTGATGCAAGCAAGTAAGACAGAGAGGGGAATAGTTGGTTAGGTTGGTTATAATGTTTCTTCTGTCACACTCAGAAGCGTAAGAAGTATTTTTGGAGCCTCACACATGCGTAGGTATAGGAAAATATTGCAGGGACTTCAATGATGAGGTATTTAAATTATTTAATTATATAAATTAATGTAATATATTATGTTAATTAATTAACGTGGGAATCAAACAAAAGGCTAGCATTTTGTAAGATTTCTTTGTACGATCACTAATGATCACTAAAAATGACGTCGCACGGGCAGGGATCGTATATTCATATTTCGCTACTGCCATCATCGAACAGGAGTAAGGCCTGACAGACCAATCACGAATTAAAAGAAAAAGAGAGCATAATAACCTAACTTCTCTTTCTTTGTCTCACTTGTTAGCTCGCCAGCCCGCAATGTATAAGCATAGGTGATGCTCCCTCCATTAGTATATGCTCTAAGGTTACGACTAAAACTTTTTTACGTGCAATGGCCTTAACGAAGAACAAAAGCTAATGTCTAATGTCACGTGAAACAGTTGGGATACAGCAGTAATGCGATGTTTCCTACCAGGATTCCGGCTTCAGAGCTTCACACACAGTACTGCCAGTTGAGCCGGGTTGCCCCTTCAATCCCCTCTACAAACCAGGCCGTGCACAATAACGTGTTATGAGCGCGCGGATCCTAGTAAGCATATACATATATTGGGCTTGTTCGTTTTAGCTACACTGGGGCTGCTCTGGTTCTGCTCTACACAGGATAATACAGGACAGATAAATAGTTTGTCCTGTATTATCTTGTTTAGGCCGGCGTCACATAGAACCCGTAATCCGTAATCCGCACCGGAAGTCCGCAAAAGTTACTAGGGATTGCGTCCGTAACGTTACGTGTGTTTTTTCTCCTTGTGTCCCATGGAGCCGTAAATACACACGTAACGGTATTACTATTTTTTATTTAACAGATTATAATTGTTTATTTGTATTTTATTCATAAGAAAACTACAGAATATATTATAATTTTAACAAAAGTTTTAATTAAATCGTCAAATTTAGTTAAATAAATAAAATTAGAAAAAGCATTACTAGTAATAACTAGTAACTTGTAGTAACTTTTACAAAAATTTTATGGAATTACGGCTCCATGGGATACAAGGAGATAAAAACACACGTAACATTACGGACGAAATACCTAGTAACTTTTGCGGACTTCCGGTGCGGATTACGGATTACGGGTTTTATGTGACGCCGGCCTTAGAGCAGACCCAGAGCTGCCCCAGTACAGCTAAAACGAACAAGCCCTATAGATCTTGAGCCCAACCACATCACCTTAGCTCGATCACGTGAGCCAATGAAAACACAGAATTATTGCCGTCGGCGGGAACCCACCGGATTGGTCTGGGGAAACCCAAGTAGCCAATGACGACTCAAGGCTGACATTCACGCTTCAGATTGGCCGGGAACACAACACTCTAGTGACTAGCCTCTTACAGAATCTTCCCATGCTACAACTTATCCTGTCCTGCCAGTCTAAGGGCCTATCCACACAAACATGCATAATTGCATAAACATATGCATAAGAAAATTGATTGGTCCATTTCCTTATGCATTTGCTTAAGGACCAATCAATTTCTTTATGCATATCTTTAAGCGACTAAGCAAGTTTGTCTGAATAGGCCCTAAAGGCTATCACACACAAAATGACAAAACTGCATATAAATAGCATAAGACCGTCTTGACCAATAAGCATCTAGCATAAAGGCGCCATATTGATAGACGCTAGATGCTCATTGGTCAAGACGGTCTTATGCTATGCATATGCAGTTATGTCATTTTGTGTGTGATGGCCTTAACACATAACTGTATTTATCATCGCAGGCGCATGCGCGACCTAGCCGGCGGAAGAACAACTCGGCCCGACTGACAGCACTGCTTATACAAGCGAGAAGCGCGTACATGTGCTGCGCAAAGCGTTCTGCGCAGCACATGACGCGCTTTTCGCTTGTGTGAAGTTCTGAAGCCGGGAGCCCGGTAGGAAACATCCGAAACATCGCATCACTGGGATACGGTAACGCCAGATTTCAAACGCAAACAGTAAGCAGCATGAAGGAAAGAGAATACCTTATACATGCACAGGCCACGTATGTATCTGTGAGCTTTGCGCTTCGGCAAACTTCGGCTCAAAATGCCATTATAGGATCCTATATCATCATGTACTCCTGTTAACAATTTCAGAAAATCCCGGCTAAAATGGAGCCGAGAAACTGGCGTTGCAACGGATAACCTTTCTACATGCTTATTTTCGCTTCTGAGCTTATGACGGTGTTAGGATGCTCGTAAAACACTTAAATAATTAAAACGTCTTTTAAAATTTTTTGGAAAGTTGTTTATTCAAAATTTAAAATGTCAATTGTCAAAGAAATTAAAAAACGACGTCTTAAAGATGTCCTTTTTACATTTTTAGGACGTCCTAAAAATGTCTTATTTAGGACTAAGCTAACTGAAGCGCGGAGTTCACATGTACGTGGTTTGCACATATGTGCGATATTCCCTCCCTTATGCTGTTTGCTGCTTGCATCTCAAATCTGGTGTTACTGCTAGAACAACGCTTGTTTGATCTTCGCAGGTGGCGTTGAAATTCTGTAAACATTTGTACGTTTTGTTTTAAATTGGTAAAGAATGACTAATGTTTGAATGAAAAATGTTAATGTCTTTCCATGGAACTTGTATTTGTCTAATATTGCACTTTATTTTTAAACGTACAGACGTACAAATAAAAATGCTATACAATACTTATGTGTTACCTATTCTCTAACAACTATATATATATAT